TAATAATAATAATAATAATAATAATAATAATAATAATAATAATAATAGCAATAGCAATAACAATAACAACAATTGTTGGAAACTAAAGTTCCATTTAAACAAAGCAAAAATCAATTGTCCGGTCAATCGAAAATTTCGCAGTTTTCAGCGGACCTCACAAACTGCTCCTTCTAGTTGGGCTGTACCTAAGAGAGCTTAAACTCCCGCCTAAAAAAGGTGTATCAGAAGCCAAGAGATTTTGAAAAAGCTAGCCCGCCCGAGTCTGCCCTCTTCCAAGTCTACCGCAGCTGCGGAAGTCCCCGCTGCACAGGGAGAGAAGGGGGAAAAAAGCGACTCCCACCCCCAGCCAGACCGACGCCCCCCCCCCATACACACACCTCAATTCAAGGTCGCCCAACTTGCCTTTTCTCTGAGGATTTCCCATGGCCTGTCCAGAAGTGGTTTTAGAAAGGCTCGAACGCACCATGGAGCTGATTTGGTTTTTATTAAGCCATACGAGAGAGGGTGAGCGAGAGGCGGGGAGAGGGGGAGGCCCCAAAAAACGAGGAAAGAATTAAAGCAGGTAATAAAGAGACGAAAGCAAGAAAAGCCGCTGAAAGCTTTCTTGGATCAGAAACCCGGACCACAACTTTGCCCAAGAAGGACTTTGGGGGCTGTTTGAAACCTCTTCCCTTCAACATTTGGGGGCAAGACCATCCGACGGGTCTCAACCCAAGAAATAGCCACTCCACTTGCTTGAAGTCCCAGAAACAAAACGTTTCCCTGAGAGGGGAAGGAAGGGGTAATAAATTGGATTACAGGTGCATCCCTCCCAAGAGTTGTTTGTCCAACTGTCCCTGTTTATTAAGGCCTGTGTCCCAATCCGAACCATCAAACTGCCCAGGCCCCGGTCTTGGAGGACACCCCCCCCCTGATGAAACCACCCAGTCAAGTGGATAACGCGAACGCGTTGTTTCCCAGTCCAGCCCCAGATGTTCAAACAGGTGCTTAAGCTTGAAGGCGAAACAAGTCAATGAGACAGTGAGATCTGTCGCCCGAGATCACCGGGATCTCCGTCGGTTCAGGTGCATTGCCATTGGTTCTGCCATTGGTACGTTTCCGTTTCGAGCCTAGCTAGGCGCTATTGTCCGGTTCTGTTCTGGTTTAACCGGGTCAAATTCCCGAAGCTTCCGAAAGATTGGTTCCCTTCGGTCTGCCTCGAGAGACGGATTGGAATCAACTCCCGGTATCTGATCCCCGCTTCTCTCCCAGAACAGGGCTCGCCAACACTTTTTTTTTTTTTTTTTTTTTGCCATCTAGAAAATATTTTTATTTGTTTTTCCACCAAATCTCTTTCCTGGAGGATAGTCTCGACCTCTCCCGCCGCCCTCGTTTTTAAATAACCGGCCTTCTTTTTTTTAAAACCGACCTCGGAGTAAATGATGCTCCCTCCCTGGTGAGGTGAAATAAGTGTAGCAAAGGCCGCGCGAAGAAAGGGTTAAGGGTGCTTTTGACCGAGAAGCCGCGGATCCCGTTTGCTTAATATCTTTATTACTGAAAACACACACACACACACACAGAGAGAGAGAGAGAGAGAGAGAGAGAGGCAATGGAAACCAGATGTCGGAATGGAAAAAAGAGAGATTACGGATGGAGAAAATGTAGCGTAAAGGGGCAGCAGGAGTTAAAGCAGGAGAGGAGGAGTGGCGCTATTCCCCCCCCCCCCCCCCGGATCCATTACTGAGGCCTGGAGAAGTGGGTCTCCCCCAAAGTAAACCTCCAAAGCACCTTGGGAAGCGGAGGGGAGAATCCCTTTCCGGCATCCAGGTGGCGGGACAAACGTTTGCTTAAACCACTAGCGGGAAAGAGTTGCCTATTTGGATTAGTGGGAGAGGACAGCAGAGAAGACACCCCCCCGCCTTTAAATTCTAGGAAAGTGCGTCCCTTTATTGACCAAAATTCGATCTAGGCGGGCAATCAACCGGTGAAACTTTTTCTTTTCTCTTGAAAGCTCCTCCAGTTGAATGTATACCTGCTGTTTTCCACCCAAGAGCTGGGAAAGAGAGTGATTAAAGCCAGTTAAGGCGGTAGGCTGCCTAACAGAGCTGACCAAATGACTTCGACGTCAGCAAACCCAAAAGAGCTGCCCGGCTAACAGCTCAGAAGAAGGGGGGAAAGAAGGCCGAAGGAATCGGCCCAGGAATGGCCGGAGGAGGAACGCCTCGGAGTCGGCCGGCTCTTCCGCCCCGCGCACCATCTCAACCGGCAGCCACAATTGCATCACCGCCATGCGGCCTCCTGGCTTCTAGATTGTATTGCTTTCTAATGGTTATTTAAAAACAAACAAATAATGCAGAAGCAACAAACAAGAAAGCCTGCCCTTTTTCTCCCTGGCTTCCCCCTTCCCGCCTGCCGTTCTTTGCGCGGATGGATTGGGCAGCGCCGGGCGAGAGAGCCGCTTTCTTGGCTCCAGGGCCCGAGGGGAGGAGGAGGAGGAGGAGGGAAACCTGGGGAAGGAGAGAAGAGGGGCTGAAGGAAGAGCTCCTTCTCTCTCTCCTACCTCCCCTGCTGGTGAGCCCCTTTCCCCTTTTACTGGGGGGTGGGTGGGGTGGGACGGATCTGCTCAGCTCTGGAGAACATCTGACTCTGCTTAGTGCTGGCTAGCCCAGCCGTCTGTGTGCGGGTGTGTGGCTGCGTGTGTCGGTGAGTGTGTATGTGTGCATGAGCGTGCGGGGGGGGGAGGAAGGGTGGGGGGAATCCAGAGAAAGGCTCTCTGGCGATGCGTGAGGACACTGCTGCCGGGGCCTTTTAATTTTAGGCATGAATGCTGAGAGTTGCGTGCCGTTCTGCGATCCGACGGCTGCTACCATGGATTCCTTCTACAACGCCGCCTCGCAAGGCAGCGTCGACGGCTCCTCGCCTTTTAGGGCATTTCCCGGCAGCAGCGACAAATTCAGCTCCGCTTTCCTGGCCAGCAAAGGACAAAGCTTTGGAGACAGCGGAGGAGGAGGCGGCGGTAGCAGCGGCAGCAGCAACAACAGTCCCAAGCGCCGGAGCCGCTACAGCCAGCCGGAATGCCCGTCTCTGGACGGCAGCGGCGCGCAGCAGCCACAGGCGCTCCCGACCGCCGCCGCCGCTTCCACCACCACCGCCGCCGCCGCCTTTAACAAGTACCACTTGCAGCCCCCGCCGCCGCTCTACGGGCAGCGCGGCTCTTGTAAAAGCCCCCCGAGCAGCAACCTCAAGTTGCAGGACGCCAGCGGCCACAACGGAGCCCTGCAGCTTTCTTGCTTCGGTGAGTCACCGGATCGATCGGGGCCGGGGCTTGATGGGGCAGGAGGTCCTTGCGGGGAAAGCAGCCCCGGCGGGTTGTTTCTATGGACCGCCCTCGGCATTGGCCCTCTGGGCTGGGAATTCCTGGTGCGCCTCTTTTTCTGTGTATCCGTCCTGTTCTCGGGGCCTTAAAATGGGGCGCGGGTGTCTCTCCTTTCTCCCCTTCCTTCTTCGCAAAGCAGAGCGGTGGCAATTCAGGGCTTCCTTCTGGATTCGTAGCTGAAGGGGAAGTCCATGGCCTCCGCGATGGGAAGCAAACGGCCGTTTAGGAAGGAAAGGGTATCGCCAAACCTCAGCCTCCGAAAGGAGATTGTGCCGCCCACTGTCTGGTTGAGCAGGGAGAAGGAGACTTGCAAATGGCCTAATCTAATTCACACGCTGTTGGGTTGAACACCCCGTTCTGGGATGAACAATCCACTACTACGGTATCAACTTGATAGTTTTCCCTGCGATTTAAAACAAAACTAAACTATGATTAAGATATTATTACTTTTATAACATAGCTGTTTCTTATTTTGTACCTGAAGATGCTTCTTGGCTTGGAAGGAATTTCCTGGAATTGGGGAGGAATTTATTTCAAAATTACGTATTCTCTTTCAGAAAGAAAAAGCAGTGAAAGTCTGGAGGGAAATTGGAGGCAGAAAAGACCATCTATTTGCGTGGTTGGTTTCTAATCCCGTGGCAAAGGTTGACTCCTAATTCTGTTTTGCTTCGTTTCTCCTGTCCTGCCCAAATACCCCAAGAAGAGCACAGTAATCACATATTTAGAATCCCCAAACAAAGCTCTCCCCCTTTCCAGATAGACAGCTCAAGTCTTCGGCCTTGAACTTCTGAGCACCACCCGCTAACACGTTTTGTCATTTAATTAGGCGCATGGAATTCATGAATAGCTTATCCTGGATTCGTTCTCAGTATGCGTTACAGAAGTGGTTAAAATGAAAGCAAGTGTTTGCTTAGGCGATTCTTCTGGGAATATTAGCAATAAGGAAAGTGAAAATAAAATTATCTCTCTGTATCTTTCCTCTGCCAGCTCCCTCCCTCCTTGTAAAAACTTCCTTTAATGTCATCCCAACTGTCTTGTCTTTTCAGTCCTGAAAAACGTCTCTGCTTGGACACAAAAACAAACCAGGTTTTAAAAGTTTGTGATTAGCGACCTTAAATAAAAGATTATATATAAAAGTAGTCCTAAAAATACATTTCGAAGCCACATTCTGTTTTCAAGAAAATTATTTAGAATTTGGGAAGCTCTGGATTGCCAGGAGATGTGATTTCATTCCTCCCCATCCATCTCTTCCGTCTAACCTTCTTAAAATTTGCTGATCGCTTTAATGTCCCAGTTATTTCAATAGGTGAAATCTGGCTGGGTCACGACCAATACAAAAAGGAATAACTGGAGTTGCACTTATTTCAGCATCCTGCAAGCTGCTGCTGAGGAGCTTTTATTCTGTACTTATCCTGTAACACTCACCACCACCACTACCACCCAAAAAAACCATTAGCACCTCTTGTCTTTCAAGGGGAATCAGAAGCCCGTATCTTTCGACGTCTTTGTCTTTGCACCAGCCTTTCCTTGCTGCGTTTCTTAGCGAGTTACTGGGGGGGGGGGGGGATCCACCGTTGTCTTTCTCTAATTCACTTTCTCGCTTCCACAAACAGCCCTTTCGATCTATTTAAGATTGGAAATCTGGGTGCGTTTGGACCTAGAGGAAAAACGATGGGGGTTGAGGTTACGTGAATAAGCCATCCGTCACCGGGAGAGCAAAGAGATCCTCCTGTCTACCTTATTTTCTGGCTTCACTCACTGTTAGATCAGGTCCCAGAGTCCAACTGAATTTTCCCTCCTGTTCGCTATGCGAGAAGGATCGTCGGAAGACACTTTAAAGTCAGTTGTTCAATTGCGCGGCCAACTAGGTGCCCAGGATCAAGTATAGATTAGGGGGCGAAGGGTTCTCAAATAATCTTATCAACCTTACAACTAAAGAAAATTTATCCGGGTGATCTACGTTGTGTGGGTGCCTTTTTTTCTACAGTGCCTTCCTTTTTCAGAAATGCGTTGACAAAGGACAAACCTAGATTTTCTTTCTGCCCACCTCCAACATGACTAAGAAGCCGAGAAGGCGTTTTCATCCGTTTCACGCACCTTTGCTCACACAACCGCATTGGCAACGGAGACTCGTTTGGTTATTGCCCAATTTGCAGTCCCGTTCAGGTGGCCAGTCTTCAGGGAAATGGAGTTGGAGGTTCATTAAAGTCAAGCTAGGAAGATGGCCCTGGACCCCTCAACCAGTCTCTTTCCAAGGAAGTTTGGATAACTGATTTGTCTGTAGAATATCTTCTTCCTCATTTGCTTCCTTAGGGCAATTGAGCGGTAAGTAGGTTTCTTCCCCAAGTGAGCACATAAAATAGAAATAGAAAAGCGGGGCTAAGCTTGAAATCTCTTGGGGCAGAACCGCTCGGAGAGGGAAGCTCCGGCACCCATACAACGACCCCTTTTTTTATGCCAAGGGAGAAGAAATAAATGGCCCCGATTCCAATCTGCCTTTTAAAAAATATCACCCTAAACAATGGAGCGTTCCCAGGGTTAAGCCCAAAGGGAGCGAGCGACGGGACAGGACAGAGAGGCTTTACGCGCGCTTTTTTTTTCTCCAAGCGGTTCACTCGGTGAGAGGCAAAGCCTGTCAGAGCCCTGAATGGCCTCGGTAAAGGTCGGCAATAGCCAAATATTCACCTGCACCGGAAGATGTCTATTAACCGCCACTTTTCCCTTTGGCTTTTGGGGTGATAAATTGGGGAAACGAGGGGGAAGGAGGGCCTCTCCGAAGGAAATATTCCCGACACCTGGCTTGGATCTGTTCTGAATAACCATTTGCGCGGTTGGACGCCCCTAATAGCTCTGCGCCGCAGAATCAGCTGATTCTAGCCCTTGTGTCTGAATCTTTAAACCAGATGCTTTTGAGGTCCGTGATTGCTACCATTTGATGGAGACGGGAATGGCCACTGAAAATCATTGGTTTCTTCCTCGACCCAATTGTGTTAACATGGAGGAAGCCGTAATCCCTAGCCATGTTTAGAGGAAATCGCAAGGGAATCGTGCTTACTTAATTTCCAAATTAATTAACGTTAATGTTCGGTAGTATTTGTGCTACGTTCACTATAAAACAAAGAAGCCCGAATGATAACCGACCGCCGTCCCTTGAGAGAAAAATCCCGATCACCTTCCCTGTGATCTTCGCCTTTGGGACCCGTTAAATGGGGGTGGGGGGTGTAAGATGGCGATCGATTAAATGTTTGCAGGATTTCCAAGCACCTTTCAGTCGGAGGCGCATTTTCAAAGCAGCGCTCCGTGGCGTTGTGTGTGATGTGGCTTGAGCGACAAAGCAAGTTAATGGGAACCTCCTGGATGTGTGGGAACAATGAATCACAATAATAAGGAATATTGTTGAAAGAATAGTTGCCGATTAGCATGAAGCGAAGGTTGGGGAGTGAGGTCTGCCAGTTATGGGCGCATGAAATAAATCGTACTTCCCACCAGAAATAAACCGGTCTCAATAAAGTCAATATTGGAAATGGGACTCTGAATTCAAACCGGAGCAAAGCGTTCGTTTGGGGAAAGAGGCAAGAAAAAGTGGGATAAAGTTCTCGCACGTTCAAAAGCTCAATTAAGTCCTCACATAGGCCGTTTCATCGGCCCTGCGGTGGAAGCTGAAAAGGAAACGGTGCTCCGGTTGCGCTGGTGTCCAATACAGCTCTTTCTCTAGTGAAAACGAACGTTTTTTTCCCCCCAGGACCGAGCGATAGCAATCGCGGACCCAAGTCCGTACTACCGAAGTGGTTCATATGTGTAAGGTCCTGCCAAGCATAAACGGCAAGTAACTCGAACGGGGACGCGAACTCCATGAAAGGCCGACCATCTATCTCCCTATGGAGAAGGCGGCAAGATTTGGGGAGAAAGGAACGGGATGGAAAACCCAGATCTCCTGCGAGAGGAGCCTTTAGGGAGCAGGGAAATGCGGCCCTTACAAGGAAGGAAGCGCCTGGAAACTAGTGGGCTTCTCGGTCACTTTCTTTAGCTTTCAAGGCGGTGCCTGTTGAATCGCAAACACCCTTCGCGGCCTGCGGCAGTGGGTACCCATGACAAGCTTTGTTTTCCAATGGAGTTTGTTCGGCAAACCTACCGGCCTTACCGGCCAACCCGTTAACATTTCAGCTTTAAAACTATTGGCGTCATTTGGGGATTTTTTTTTCTCAGGAATCCATTCCCGCCTTTTTCGTCAAGCGGTGCGGCCTAGCCCGTGCCTTGCCTCCTCCAACTTAGCTCGCCGTCTTTGACTCCAGGGGGAATCGAGATCAATAAAAAAAAAAACCTTTCTGACATCTTCCTCGACCCACCTCTCGGCACCCCGGTCGTGAATTTCTTAAGGCCGTCGTCGTCCCTTACATAGCTTTGTACAAGCTCGGATCCCCCAGATGCGGGCGGGCGAGCAAGCAACGCTTCCCACCCTTCGCGATGAATGCCGGGAATGGTAACCGACGCCATTCGGAGACCGCCGCTACAGGCCCCTCTCTGGAAACCGAGGTTATCCCGAGGAACCAGAGCGAAGCTTCCGGAGGCCTCAGAGCCATTTCTGAGGGTACCTACCGGTACCAGCGGCCGAGCTTTGCAGATCGATTTAGGCAGAGAGGCGACAATGTGGAGTCTGGTTTTGGTAGGCATTAATAATCCCATCGCCCCAGTGCGGAATGATAAGGCTGTATATATGCTGGGAAAGGATAGAAAACTAATTAAAGTTTCTTTGAGAGTCTGCTTAAGAAGTGTGTCCCTCTTCTTCCCCACCTCAAAGCCCCCCGTTTATCTCCAGCCCTCTGTTTCTCCAGGTCCAAGTTCAGGCTCTCCAGCACTGGAGCAGGGCAAGGCAGGGCAGGGTGGGTGGGTTTTGAGTCCACCTTCTCAATGTTGTCACT